CCCCAAAACCCCAAAACCCCAAAACCCCAGGATATACATTTAGTAAAACATATTAAGTTTTCAAATAATTATTTTAATATAATTTACTATAGGTCAAGTGCTCAAGAATAATCAGATGATATCTCCAAGGTCAGTTTTCCATTAAATAGACAATTTGCCGATAGAAACTAATGCATTTCAAAAATCTTTTACCCCAAACAATGAAAACTCCAAAATCTTTTTTGGCATGAGTGCTTAAGTTTAGAGTACTCAATTCAAGAAAAAGAAAGCATCTTATACCAAGAAGTTTTAGAATAGAGTTGATTATCTAAGTCAACCTTACTATGCTAGAAAAGACTCAAATATTTCTAATGGGGACTTTAAATCCATTAAATCAATGGGGGAATTCTCTACCAAGAACCAATACTAGTCAAGTTCTGAGAGTGGCATGATATCTATTTATGTGCCAAAGTAGAAACTCACTGAAGTAAAAGAGAATATACCTGTCGAGTCAGACTCAACTAAGCTAACTAATGTATAATTGCATAATCAAATAATTGAATATAGATATTTTAGGAATAAATGAGAGCTCAACTATGTGATAATAATCCAGAAGATTCAAATTAGAAGTTTCAAGAATACGCAAGATCAAAAGTTTTGGGGTAGATATAGAGAAATCTACAGAATGAATAAGTCTCTAGATAAATGCAGTAAATGGGACTTAACTTAGGAATTATGCCCAAGAAGAATAGATTACAGAGTGAAAATCTAATTACATCAGATATGTTAAGAATTAAAAGTTAATACAAATCAATTGAACTTTCTCATCATGCTAATAATAACAATAATAAGAAGTCTCGGTAGAAAAAAACCTATAATTGTACAATATTGATAATCATAGATAAAATCTATGAAATTCTGGAAGCTATTGTTGACGATGATTTGAGTTTTAATCTCAAATATAGGAAAACTCAAGCATAGATTAGACATTTTAATGATTTTAAATCGAGAATCATCAAGGAGCATTAACTTAGTGAGGAGGTAGCTTACCAACTTAGCTATTTGATGGAAGTTATGTTCTATGAATAGCAGAAAGAATAATTTGAGGCTAAATTTTCTTTAATGGCAATTGAAGGTGAAGTATCATATAATAGTTTGATTTCTCAGAGATAAGAGCTGAGACAGTTCAACCACATAATATCTAAAAATAATCTCTAGACTCAAGCAATTGTTGATGATGAAATGCAAGAGTAACAATTCTAAGCAGGCTAAGATCAATATAACAGTCTCAATCAAATTTAGAAGCAATAGTCAACTAATGAATAAGCATCCTAGTCGTCATCATCTAATTCTAAAAAATAGAGGGAAGAGGGTAAGTCTAAATCAAGAGAAGTTGAGTCATAGTTGTTGCAATTCATTTGCGCGCTCAAGCTATTCAAAGACTCTCACAAGGCACTTTCAGATGATGAAATAGCAGTCAATTGGATTAAGTTAAGCCCTGCTAAGAAGGAGGATTATATCTACAATGGACTCCACACCAAATTAGAGCTTGAATTCAAGTACAGAAATTAGTATATCATCAATAAGAGAGAATATATTGATATACTAAAGAAGGGTCAATTGAATTACTAGCCAGTAATTGAAATGGTGAAGCAGAACACTTACAAAGATTTTATTTTCAATCTCAAAACTTTTCTCTACATGTTAGATCAGCATTAATGAATTTTATGAGATCCTTGGCACACTTCTCATTAATCATCCAACCTTAGTGTATAAGTGATTTAGTGAGAGAGATATTGTGAATAATGTGAATACGAATTCAAGCTATATACTCAAATGAAGTTATAATCATCCACTTATATTATTTCTTTTATTTCATTATTACAGATTACTTTCTCAATGATTCTATACAAAAAGCGGGGTTTTGGGGTTTTGGGGTTTTGGGG